CAAACAAGTACAAATATGATTGCCATTTTTGAATATAATGACATAGTTTTTGTGAGATGCTCTGTAACGAGTAGTCTCCCAAATTTCATAAATAGATAAAATAGAAAAATTTGCGGTAATTTCATTGATATTTGTTGCTAGAAAGTCATCAAGATCGTTATAAAAGTTAATCTCACTTTTCTCTTGTAACAGACTAAGATTAATATTTTCTTTAGAAACTAATGTTGCATTATACCAAAGAGCTTCTGCTATTTCAACTTTTTGTAAAGACAAAACAGGTGGTGTTAAAAATTCAGCAAGCCACTTGTCAACTTCAGACAATAACTGAGCCGATGCGACTGTATGTGTAGGTTTAACATGAGTTATAGACCAATTATTATAACGAATATACATCGATTCCCAAGCAAGATGAGAGTCTAAAACACTAGCAAGTTTGGATAAAGTAGCTTTGCTTGTTATATAAGATTTGATAATTGCATTCATGCCTTCTACTCTTTGTGTAGATTGAGCTCCAGCAGTAAATATATTTGAAATCCAGGCTAACGCCCAACATTCTTTGATATTATAAAGTGTTCATTCAAGGTAAGATTGTGCTATTAGATATTTACTTATAAGCTGCTTCTATTCAAATTCAAAGTCTTTTTTTGACAAACTATTATGCATCTTGTACCAGTCTTTTATAAACTTATCCCAATCTGATCCAAGTTTATTTTTTAAGTTTTTCGGAAGATTTTGGGAGATGTGATATATACAGTTCATTCGGTAAGTTTTAGGTATTATTTTTTCAATGGCTACTTTATTTGCAGGATCAGAATCAGTTATAAGAATACATGGTTGATAGCCGGTTGACTCTAAAATTTTAGTAAGGACCCATTCAAAACTAATAGTTGTTTCGTTATTTATCAATGCTTGAGCAACAAGGTGGCTTCTGTTATAATTATCTATACTAACAAAAAGACTGAGCACCATATTGAAATGATTTGTACTGTACGTATTGTCATTCATAATGACATCGTGATAGTGAATCCATATTTTAACTTGACTAGGTTCCATCCAGAAAAGTAATTTCAAGAAGTTAGAAATAGGTTCTAATTGAAAATGAACAACCCAATTTGGGTCTTGTGCTTTGTTATTAAGAAGCGTTTCTAAAAGAATAGAAGCTTCATTAATAACTTTATTCTGTTTCTTAAAGAATTGTATTGTAGATGACAAATCTTGTAGCAAAAAAAGGATATCCAGATATTTGTCTTCAAGTAAGGAAAGCTGCATTCGCATATTTAACCCTTTTGAAATATAATATTTGATCTCTTCTTTTACTTCATCAGGAAATTGTTGATAGTAAGAAGCAAAAGTAATAGTATCGGAATAGATTTCATGATTGGTGTGCTCAAGGCGACAAGAAGTGATTTTAAGTATTTCTGTAGTTTTCGGACAGGTTGCGTTAACTAACTATTTACATTCTAACCACTTTGTTTGAGATTGTTTTTGATTCTCCACAATAGCTGTTTTCTTTGAATGATCTATTCCTTGATTTTCGCAAGCATATCTACACCTTCTACGAGTAGCTCCATCAAACTCAGAACAAGTAATTATTGATACAAAGCCATTCTGTTTTGTGTACATTTTAATATAATGATCAAGCTGATCCCAATTTTGAAATACTGAGTCAAGAACAATCTTAAGTTTTTCTTGACTATTAAACTCAACATTCTGATGTTCATTTGTGTTAGATATGTCATAATCAATGGTCGAGTTCTCTACATCATTAGAAATTAATATGTTGGGTTCAGGTAATATACAATTTTGTTAAGTAGGATATGAAAAAGAATCTTGTGAGCCGGGTGCCAGTAATATAGGCTGTAAACTTTGTAGTAGATGTTGAAAATCTTAAAATCATGGTAAGTAGTATTTAGTGAAAAAAATAGAAAGTGAAAAAAAAAATGAAACTAGAGACTGGTACTTATTTTATTCTAGCCCTAGTTCCAG